GCTGGGAAGGGCCTTAGAACAGGGAATGTCCCAGCTTGGGGGGAGGGGCCCTCAAGCTGGGAATGTCTGGGCAGGAGGCATCCTGAGCTCTCCTTCAGTGGTGGGCTGGATTGCTGGACATTGGGGGAGGATGAGCGTGGGTTGTGGTGCTGGAGCTGCACCTTGAGGGAAGCTAAGGGATCTAAGAGGAGGCAGGGGTGTGTTCTAGAGTGGGGGACAGTTGTCGTGTGAAGAACATCCAGGGGGTGGGTTGGGCCGGAGCACAGAGTCTATGAAGGGGAGTCATGTGCAGTGAGTCCTGGAACAAAGAGGTTGTTTGGGACTCCCAGTGAGGACACTCCATCCCCAGTGCAGACCAGTACCTCGTTGGTATCTAGAGTCTTAGAGGCTTGTGTGGGGCCGGGAGATGTTAGTTAACCTTCTCAGTACTTTATGTGTGTAACATGGGGAGAATTTGAACCCAAGTCGTTGAGGTTCCCAGGCCGGCCTGCCCTTTGTCGCTTCTCAAAGAAATACAACTTGTGTTCATAGTCCGGATCTTCTGCTCTAGAAGAGCAAAGGCTTCTCACGGCACCCCTGTCCTTTCACAATAATGTCTATATTTCTTAGGGAGGGGACTTTGCTTGGTCACAGGAGACCCCAGCTCATCAGCCCAGAGCTTCCTAGGAGGGAAGAGGCTCCCCTCCCCCCACCCCTCTGCTCTTTGTCTGAATGGGCAGAAGAAAGATGGTGGAGCAGCCCCCGGGGGCCACTCTGAGCCTCTCCTCTTTCACTTCAAAATGTCTGATTGGTGCTCGCCTAGTGCCACCCATGATTGGACCCCTCCCCCATAACAAACAGAGCCTGTCTTCTGGACCCTTGGACACCGCCTCTTCTGCCAAGAAGCTGAGGCTTGTTTCACCCTTAGCCTTTGGGAATTGTGGTTTTATCGCCTTTTAAAGCCTGGTTTAAGTGCTCTGCCCACTAGGGAGCCTTCCCCTGCCCTGGAGTAACAATCATCATGGCATTTCTGTTTGGGGCTTTCAGGTTTGCAAAATGCTTTACAAAGATCCCGTTTTCTCCTCCAAACAGCCTTGGAAAGGGTGGTCCTTTTATCATCCCCATTTTACCACTGAGGAAACTGAGGCAGACAGAGAGGTTCAATGACTTTCCTAGGGTCCCACACTTAGGAAGTATCTGAGGCTGGATTTGAACTCCGGTCTTCCTGAGTCCAGGCACAGTGCTCTCCCCACTGTGACCCCCTTGCTGCCTAATCATTTCTCTAGGCCTGTTCCTCCCAGGGCACATTTTTTCTTTTGTGGCTTGTATGTGGCACTCTGCCAATTCGGGCATCAACTGTGAACTTAGAGAGAGCAGACCCCCGGGTCTCTCCGTGGTGCTGAACGCTGCCTGCTCCCCTTTGAGATGGGAGAGGCCTCTCCGGCTGGTGGAGAAGGGTTTTTCTTTCAGAAATTCAATGCAATTAAGCAACTCATTATCATCTGCTCTATGTTAGACCTCTCCTTCACATGGGGGATACAGAGGTAGAATGACAGCCCCTGCCCCCAAGGAGATTACATTCTGTTTGTACACACAGAGGTCTCAGGGCTAGACCCTTGATTTTTCTGATATAGGGAAGTTCCCAGTGAGGAAACTCCTTCCACCAGCTAGAAGCAGATAAGTGTTTTGGTGGTTGGGGCACTGGGCCTGGACTCAGGAAGTCCTGAGGTCAAATGTGGCCTCATACACTGGGCAGGTCACTTAACCGCTCCATGACTCAGTTTCCTTATCTGTAAAAATGGGGATAATAATAGCACCCCAGTCCTAGAGTTGTGAGGATAAAATAGTATCTGTAAGTGCTTTTCAGACCTAAAAGTGCCATGTCCATGCTAGTCATAATAATAATACTAGAAAAAATAATCACAACAGTGACAAGAATGCTGCTGGCTAGAGCAGTCACGGGTGAAGGGGACCACAGCTAGTGTGTATCAGAGGCAGGGCGTGAACATGCATGTTTGTGGTCCTGGGGCCAAGTCTCTCTGGAGGGAAGGAATGAAGAGCCCGAGCGCTGGGTTAAGGTGAGCCCAATGCTCCCCATTCTTTTTTGTACATATGAGCAAACAAGAAGCAGCCACCACGTCCTCTTAGCCCAGTGACAACCCCCAATGGGCTCGGGAGAGGCAGCTCCTGTCAGACGTTTCCTGAAGGTCTGCTGTGTGCTCCGGCTTTGGGGGGATAAGATATGCTGTCCCTGCCTGTGGAGTTCCTCCTCCCTCAGGGGACAGGAGACGAGACCTTGATGTACAACTACAGTGATGCCCGGGGGAGCACAATGAGGGCTCCGAGGAGCTCTGAGGAGGGGAGAGCCCAGGAAGTCTGAGTGGCGAATACTTCCTGCAGAGGTGGCCTGTCTGAGTGCCTACAGGGCTGGGTTTTGGAGTCAGCGAGGACCTGGGATTCCAGCCCTGAATTAACCCCTCTTCATTGCCTTCGCCCCTACACCCGTGCTCCCGGGTGGAGCTGGAGACTTATCACACAGCTGTTCTGATCGGATCCACTACGCATTGGTTACCCAGCCTCACCTGGGTCCTCACTGCTGCTCCACAATCCTCATCAACCCTTTCACCTTCCACAGCAGCTCTTCCAAACCTCCTCATCCTTCCTCAAACCTCCCATGGCTCCCCCTCCTCCCGCTCTCTCAGCTGAGAACTTGCCTCATATTATACAGAAGAAATGGAGGCCATTCAGCGTGCGCTCCCTCTCCTCCTGTCAGCTGCCTGCCGACTCTCTCTCCTCTTCCACCCCGTCTCTATGAAGAGGTGGCCTTACTCCCTGCCACAGCTAACCCCAACCTCATCACTCAGCTGGAATGTCTCTCTTCAAAGTTACTTGAATCTTAGACGCTAAATCCAGTGGTCTTTTCTCCGTCCTCATCCTCTGGGACCTTTCTGCAGCCTCAGATGCTGCCGATGCTTCTCTTCTCCTTGGTTCTCTCTTCTCTCCGGGTTTTTGGGACGTGGCTCTCTCCTGGTTCTCCTCTCTCAGCTGCCTTCTCAGCCTCCTTTGCCGGTTCTTCATCCAGGTCACGTCTGCTCACTGGGGTACCCCACAAGACTCGCCCTGGGCCCTCTTTTCTTCTCCCCCTGTAGCACTTCACTCGGTGATTCAGTGACCATCTCTGGACAAATGATTCTCTGGTCTACTTGTCCAGCCCTAGCCTTCCTGCCAACCTCGGGTCTCACATCTCCAACTGTGTAGTAGACCCCTCAACCCGGATGTTCCTTAGACATCTTAAACTCAACATATCTAAAATGGAATTAATTTTCTTTCCCCTCCCCTCTTCCTAAATGCCATATGACACCGCCATCCTTTCAGTCGCTCAGGCTTGTGACCAGAGTGTCCCCCACTCCTCGTTTTCTCTTATGCCCTCTTTCTAGTCTGTTGATCCTCCCTTCGTGATGTGGCTTCTGTAGGCCCCCTCCCCTTCTTTTCTCTGATACCGCTCCCTCCCTGGCACAGGCCCTCATCACATTCCCAGTCTCTCTCGCCTCCCCGACTCTTGCCTTCATACTTGGGAATCGCAGTAACAACGTCAAACTGCTTTTTAGCTTCCTGTGCTGCCAAAACTTGAAACAAGATGGGAATCTCTATTCCCACAAAAATTGGGAGCAGGTTTTCTGAGCTCAAACTACCATTCCAGCAGCAGCTTTTGGACCTTGATGAATGTGCACAAGAAATGTCTCTGTTTTAGAATCCATTTAACTGTGCATTTGAGGAGCTTCTACCTAACCTTCAATTGGAAGCGATTAATCAAGAGGAGAATCTAGTAGAATTCTATGAATGCTTTCCAAGTGATAAATATGCTCAATTAAAATCCCATGCTTGTGGATTGGTGTCAGTATTTGGCAGTGCCTATCTGTATGAAAAGACATTTTCAAAGATAAAATACATAAAATCTAATTACAGGGCAGCATTAACAGATAAACATTTGCAATCGATTTTGATGATAGGAATCACTAACTTTGAACTCTGGTTAAGCAAAATGTTATCACCCCAAAAAAAATGACGTCTTAGTGGTAGACCTATATTACCAAAAAAGCTACTCAATGATTGTTATGTTTCGAATTTTATCAATAAAATATTTGTGGAATTTTCTTTTCTCTTGTTATGTAAATATATAATATCCTCAATTTTGCCTCTTTGCAAAGCCCAAAATATTTACTATCAGACCCTTTACAGAGAAACGTTTGCTGAGCCCTGGGCTCCTTTATAAGAATGCAGATTCTTTGAGGGGAGGCACAGCTGAGATGGCAGAGTGATAGGAAGCAATACTGTGAGCTCCCCTCTGCAAACTTCTCTAAATGTCTAGAAAATTCATGGGACTGAATCCTGGTGGAGAAATCCAGAAAAAGTCACAGCGACTCCTTTGTCCAGTGCAGCTTGGCATAGCAAGACAGACAGGGAGGTGTGAGGACACTGAGGACTGAGCTTGGCTAGATGCTAACCCCAGGGCCCAAGGAAGGGCTGTATATTAGGGCAGGAAGATCTCAGACCCATACCAGGCCATTCACAGACTCAGGCCAGGGCATTCGTACAGGGACAGGTCACCCACTACTGAGGCCCAGGTTGTAAATCCATGGCAGAATGCAAAGGGGACCTGCCCGTGGCATGGCAGTGGCTTACCAGAGTAGGGTGGCCCTGGGGGGTATACGGAGAAAGGAGGAAGCTCAGAAGCCAGCAACAGCAGTGATGTGGGTCAGACCCCAGGCCCAGAACAGAGTCTGACTCCCAAGTCTAGCCCAGCCTACAGAGAAGGCTGGAATCCCAGACCCAAGGGGAACATACAGTTCTGACCACAGAGCTTTCCATCTGGCTCATGGGGCAGAGTCCAGCATCAGTCTACTTTTGTAGAGCTCCCACCAGGGGGCAGCAAACAGGCTTTGCCTTGGATCAGACAGCCTGGGAAGACTATGAGCTTTCAGGTCCCCAGCCTGTCCCTGAGGTCCTGGAATAAAACAACCCCAATACCCCAAGAAAGTGGCAGCAGAACCAGACCAGACCTTTTCTCCAGAAGTATCACAGAACGTTGGTCTGAAGTCAGTAAGCACACTGGAAAAGTGCCCCCTGCCATCCCAAAAAAAGCACCATAATGAGCTATCCTGGTGGCAGGATGCTTAAGACACAAACCCAGAAGATAATGACTCCTGACTTCTACAAGCAAAGCCTCAGAGAAAAACACAGCTTGGGCACAGTCTCAACTAGTTTGGAAGTGAAGAAGCAAGAGTTAAAAATTTTTTTTAATGTTTTTATAAATGGAATGAAAGTGCTTGAGGGCAAAAATAGAAAAGAAATGAGAGCTACAGAAGAAAGCACTGAGGAGAGATGATGCTGCTTGGCACAAGGTACAAAGCTTGCCCAAGTGAGAGACTCCCTGAAAATTTGAATGGACCAGCTAGAACCAATGACTCCATGAGACAAGAAAAAATAGTAAAGCAAAGTCTAAGGACTGAAAAAAATAGAAGAAAATTTAAGAAATCTCATAACAAGAACAGCTGACCTGGAAAACAGATCAAGGAGAAACAAATTTTAAGATCATTGCTCTGAACTCCATACCCCCAAAAGATCCCAGACATATTTCAAGAAATCTTGAAAGAAAACTGCCTACGTTTCTTAGAATCAGAGGATGAAGTGGAAAAAAAAAATTCACTGGTGGCACTTCCTGAAAGAAACACCAAAGAAAACTTCTAGGAACATTATAGCCAAAATCCAGAGTTTCTAGGTTCCCCCCAAAAATACTTAAAGCAGTCATGGAGAAAGAATTTATGTACTAAGGTGCCATGGTCAGGATCATACATGATTTAGTAGCCACTACTGTGAAGGAGCAGCGAGCTTGGAATATAATATTCCAGAAGCCAAACGGTATATAGCCAAGAATAACTTAACAAGCAAAGCCAAGTCTAATGCTACAGGTGGAGAAATGGACCTTTAATGAAATAGAGGACTTCCAAACATTCCTAATGAAAAGACTAGAGCTATGGAGAAACTTTGAATTACAAACATAGGAGTGAAGAGGAACAAAAAGGTAAACATGAATGAACCATGGTAAAGTACTACATATGGATAAACCGCTTACATTCAAATACGGGGAAACAGTATATGTGTCCCCTCTGAACACTGTCATGACCAGAGTTCATAGAGGGAGTCCAATTAGATGAGGCCTAGGCATGGTTCTCTTATATCTTGATGATCTTAGGGAAAGAATGGGAAGAGAAAAGGAAGAGGAAAAGGGGGGAGGGGAAGGAGAAGAAACTTAGGGGAAATTGTCTCACCTAATGAGGGTGCCCAAATATCTCTCTGTCTGTCTGTCTGTATGTATGTACATATATATGTGTATGTATATATATGTATGTATGCTTGTATATATGTGTGTGTATGTATGTGTATATATGTGTGTGTATATACATATATGCTACCAGACACCTGTATAAACAAGGAAGGTATAGGAGGAGCTGCTTACACTTTAACTTCACTTTTCTCTGAACTGGTCAAAAGAAAGAATACACAGACACGGACACACACACACACACGTATGAGCATACACATATACCCGCACGCGCATACTCTAAACACACATACATGCATGCGTGCACTCACATGGACAGGTGAGCACAGAAATACATTTCATTCAATGAAGTAGGAGGAAGAGGAGAGAAGAGGGAAGGGGAAATTAGAGGAAGGATAGATTAAGGGAGAGATTAGTCATAAGCAAAACAAATTCTAAGGATGCAGAAAAATATTCAGCTCTTTTTGATATGGCAAAGAATGGGAATCTGAGGGAGCGCTCATAAACTGGGGAATGACTGGACAAGTTATGGTATGCGAATATCATGGAACACTACTGTGCTAAATTCTTATCGGCACAATGATCAACCAGGATTCCAGGAGGAAATACGAGGAAATATTCTGTTCCCACCCTGATAGAGAGGTGAAGGATTCAAAATGCAGGATGAGACATAGGACTTGACCAATGTGGATATTTGTTTTGATTGACTCTGTATGGTGTGTATAATGAGTTTTGTTTTCCTTGTGTCCTCAAAAGGGGAAGTTGTTAGGGTGGCAAGGTGAGAAGCCAGATGTTGGCTAATTTTAAAAAAATTTATATAAGTATATATAAAAGCACAATATTAAAACATATACACACGTTCATATGTGTGTATATATGTACACAGATATATGTTATGTGTATGCACACACACACACACATACACACACACAACTTGGGAACTCATGCTCACAATAACCAACCATTTGAAGACTCATGATGAAACATACCGCCCACCTCCTAATAGAGAGGAAAAGGTCTCAGAGGGCAGGTTGAGACATATATCTTTTCAGATGTAGCCAATAAGAAATTTTGTTTTGTTTGACTATACATACTTGTAACAGGAGTTTTGTTTTTCTTGCTTTCTTGATGGGCTGGGGGGAGAAGTGGGAGAAAGAAGGCTGAGCTTTGAAAATTAAATTTAATGTAAAAAATAAACCCTTTGGAGGCAGAAACTTTCTTTGCTTTTGTATTTGAAACCTCAAAGCTTAACAGATAGTAAACACTTTGTCGTTCATTCTCCTCTAAGACCGGGCATCATCATTCTCTATTTTTCTTTCATTCTTCCCATTACAGCGAGTTCTTCTCTTTGTTGCTTCTGATGTTGATGCGTTATGTGCCTGCAAAATTCTTCAGGTAAGCTGATCCATTTTTCCTTCTTGCAATGGGAATATAGAGAAAGAAAAAGAATATTGGCTTGGGGGGGTGGGATTGGTTGGAACTAATCAAAAAGACAAGAAAATTTGTAGGTCATCCCATGTAAAAGATTCAAAGCATTTGAAATCTAATGCCTTTTACTGTGATCCTCAGTTACAAGACTTGGTGACTTTGTGGTTATTCGCATTATAGGTGGAAATATTTGGGGTTTAGCCTTAGAGCCCAAAGCTGGCCTGCCCTGCCAAACTGGAAAGACTTCCAGCCCAGGCCTGGCCGCAGTCTGCTTGCCTGGACCAGTGAAGTCTGGGAAGGCTGGTCACTGAGTGGTGATGGGGTTTTGGACCACCTTCACTCGGACAACGGTCCGCTAAGGCGAGGAAGTGTTCTGCTCGCTGTTGTCAAGGGTTTGGATATAGAAGGATATAGAAACTGATTTGGTTTGGCTCCAGATGGTAGAAGCAGGAACAGCAGCGAAAGCAGATGTCAGCTTGTTGTCAGGGTGAAGTGGGTTGGGCGGCCTCAGGGTGGGGCCCCAGCTGGAGGTCTTCAGGTAGAGGCTGCATGCCTGCTTGGGTGGGGTGGTGACGGAAGGACTTGCACTGATTGGCTGCTGAGGTCCCTTTTAGCCCTGCCCTTTAGATGGGGGCAGAGCTCCCAGGATGGAAGGATTACCCAGACCAGTGAAATGAGTGATCTTTCCAAGTAGGGCAAAAGAAGGACTTTGGTATTAAATAGGTGATGGCGGGGGCAGGCAAGGACGCTGTGGCCCCCCTCTTGCTGCTGCCCGGGCCTCCCTCCCCACCTGTGGGCAGTGTCCACTGTCCAGGGCAGGCGAATCCGTGGGAATAATCGTAGCTGGCTGTTGACCACACCCACCCTTCTCTGCCCAGGCCTTGTTCCAGTGTGACCACGTCCAATACACTTTGGTTCCCGTTTCTGGGTGGCAGGAACTTGAAACCTCGTTTCTGGAACACAAAGACCAGGTATGGATGCTTTATATTAAGATGACATTTATAGAAAAATCATTAAGAACCATCACCTGTAATTTCCAAGGGCTTGGGCTCCTTCCGAGGGCTAGTTTATGTCAGCCTGTTCATCACATCATGGCTGTGGCCCCTCAGCCTCAAACCAGGAGAGGCCCAGCGGCAAATCCCTGGGACCCTGGGCGAATTGTGTCTCCCCTTCATTCTCCTCGCGTGCCCAGTGGAGAAGACCATACCCGCAGTGCCTACCACCCAGGTGGTCATGAGGCTCAGATGAGATCAGGTGGCTAATGCCACACAGAAATGCCAATTATTCTGACAGTATACATGCCAGTCACTGAGATGTTGGGCACATTCACAGGAGTTAGGAGTGAAATTGAAGGGTTGAATAACCTAGTGTGATTCAGGCAGGATTTGGTTTAAATCCTCAAGCGTCTGTACATTGCACCCAGCTGTTCAAAAACTGGGTTCCCTTCCCCTTGGTAACTTACTTCTCCTGAAACTCAACATGTAGATAACATACTTTTTCCTTCACAATTTTCATTTTTAGGCCTTGGCTTGAAGGTCCGGGGGGCAGGGAAGAATGTTAGGTATTCAAGGGATTCATGATGATGTGAATGAAATCACTCAGGACTCAGGCCACAAATATGAGGGTGACTTCCTGGTCAGCTCACACCTGGAGGCCCTTGGGCATTGGAGAAGAGCATTGGCAGCCAGGGAGCACCCTGAGGAGGACAGCCGGGGTGGGATCTTGAGATCATGCCCTGTGAGGATTGGTGGGAAGACTGGAGAGGTCGAGCCCGAAAAAGAGACGTGTGGCCTGTCTTCCAGAATCTGCAGGGCTGGCCTGGGCTGAGGGGCCGCGCTTGTTTGGTGCGTCCTCCAAGGGCAGAAGCAGTCAGGGGAGGGTGGCAATCAGGAAATGCCTCCGAACAAGTAGAGTTGGTCCCAGGAAGAGGGGGCTGCCTCGGGAGGTTGTGCGCTCCCCACCAGCTGACCCTAGAGGACTGCTTGTTGGGGCTGCTCTAGGTGGGGCTTGGAGCACATGTCCTCCAAGAGCTCTTGCGCGCTCTGAAGTGGCAGTGATCCTGAGGCCTGTTTCTCAGACCTCACGGCTCACAGCACTTTCTTTTCCCTTCCAGTTCCGCTATTTTCTTCTCATAAACTGTGGGGCCAATGTCGACCTCTTGGATATCCTCCAGCCTGAAGAGGATAGGATTTTCTTCATTTGTGATACCCACCGGCCTGTCAATGTTGTGAACGTTTACAATGACACCCAGGTGAGTGAATCCTCTGGGAGAGAATCAACAGGCTGGTGGGTCTAGGACTGGGAGAAGCTTCAGAGACCACCTCGTCCAACCTCATTTTACACAGAAGGGGATGGAGGCCTGAAAAGATGAAATGACTTACCCAAACCCAGCCAGGAGGGTTTGGGCCTCACCCATCTTGAAGAGCCTGTAGGAGTCCCATATAAGATACCCATTGCGGTGGCTTGCTGACGACTGGCATAATGCCAGGCTTTCTTTGATTCAGTTTCTCCCCCGCCATCCTCGTTGTAGCACAGGTGTGAGTCTGGGCTCCTGAAGGCAGGGGAGTGCCAGGTCTGGCAGGTTCTCCTGAACTGGGAGAGTTCTAGTCCTGGGTTCTGGGTCTGCTTTCAAAGCATCAGCCTGGCTGAGGGGGCTCGTCACCAGGGGCCCGGCCATCCACCTGGAGACGATGCTCGATGCCATCACCCTGGTAGGTCACTGAGCACTCTGACCCACAGGGGTGGAGGGGTGGACCCAATCACACGTGTGGGAAATGATCAGAGTCCTAGCTTTGCCCTGGAACGTGAGCTCTCTCCAGGGCACCAATGTTTTTTTTTCTTAACTTGACTATATTCTTAATTAACTTTGTTGCTTGTTATCAGTAATAAATTATGTCCCATAACTTTGTGCTCCCTGACACAATTTTCTCAAAATTGACACGCAATACATTTTTCTTAGCCTCAGGCAGATATTTTCAGCGTTTTTTTCCCCACTATACACATACGTGATTCCTATAGGCAAAAGCACAATGATATTTTCACTAAATGGAACGTGAAGCTGGTAGCTAACTTTTGAAAATGCCCCCTTTAAGAAACTTTTTATTGAGGTCCCCTTTGCTGTGGCCGCCACTGCCCAGTGGCACGTTCCTGCCCCAATAGAGCCCTCCCTTGTTACAAAGGACGGTCAAGCGAACGGTAAGCGGTTGCTTCGGCCTTGTGTGAAAAGACGCGGCTTGGATGGCTTGATGTGGGGCGGAAGCCCACTTTACGACGACGTCTGCCAGGTGACAAATGACCTTTGACTCGATCAGAATTCCCAGGTTTGTCAGGGTTGTTCACCATCACATTATGAGAGCCTCCGTGTCATTATTCTCCTCCATCTACGTCAGCTCTTGGAAGTGTTCCCGAGCTTGTGTGAATTCTTCCTCTTTATCCTTGCGTATGGCACAGTTATATCCCATTTCTTGTTCTGCTGGCTCGTTCGTCCATTCCACAGTCAATAAACACCCACTTTCTTTCCGATTCCTTGTGACTCCCCAGAAAGATGCTGGCATAAATATTGTTGTTACTCTTTTTTCTCCTTTCCAATTAGCAAGCCTTTATTTTCTCTCTCTCCCACCTCCTTCACCCACTGGGAGGAAGATACCATCCCTTGTGACAGATATTCAAAGTCAAGCAGAGCAGATGCCGTATTGGCCCATTCGGAAATGTAGGTCTCACTCTGCGTGTTTAGTCCATCGCCTCTCCTTCGGGCTGTGGGTGGTGTCTGTCATCATCTGTCCTCTGGCTGTGTTTGTCATCTCTAGTCTTTCAAAGCTGTTTTTCTTCCTAATGGTGTTGTTACTGTTGAGATTGTTCTCCAGATTCTGCTCGCTTTACTCTGCATCGGATGATACTGGGTTTCTCTGAAATGAGCCCTTCACCATTTCTTATGACTCAGTAATAGTGCGTCATCTCCACGTGCTGTGATATGTTTAGCCATTCTGCAATAGACAGACACCCTTTAGTTCCCAGTTCTTTTTTGTTAGAAAAGGAGCTACTCTACTTTTCTACTTATGTGTCCTCTTTCCTCTTTGATGTCTTTGGAGCTTAGGATTACTGGGTCAAAAGGAATGAACAATGTAGTGACTTTGGGGGCATAGAGCTAACTCCTTTTCCAGAGTGGCTGGACCAAGGCATGGCTCTACCACAGTGCATTAGTATGCCTCTTCAATCATTGCCATTTTCATTTTTAAAATTAACTATGTAGGCCTCATTTCTCAAATATATAGAGAATTGAGTCAAATTTATAAGAATGCAAGTCATTCCTCGATTGATAAATGGACAAAGGATATGAACAGGCAGTTGTCAGATGAAGAAATCAAAGTTATCTATAGTCATATGAAAAAATGCTCTAATCAGTGCTTCTTCAAGTATGGGTCACAACCCCATATTAAAAAGCTGAAGAAGCGCTGAAGGGCGTGCATGAAAAAAGCATAAGAGGCCCTGCTCTAAATCACTATTGCTTAGAGAAATGCAAGTTAAAATAACTCTGAGGTACTACCTCCCACCTATCAGATTGGCTAATATGACAGAAAAGGAAAGTGACAAATGTTGGAAGGGATATGGGAATATTGGAGCACTAGTGCATTATCGGTGGAGTTGTGAACTGATCCAACCATTTTGGAGAGCAATTTGGAACTAAGCCCAAAGGGCTGTAAAAGGATGCGTACCCTTTGACCCAGCAATGGCACTTCTAGGGCTGTATCCCAAAGAGATCATAAAAGTGGGAAAAGGACTCACATGCACAAAAATATTTATAGCAGCTCCTTTTGTGGTGGCAAAGAATTGGAAATTGAAGGGATGCCCATCAATTGGGGAATGGCTGAACAGGTTGTAGCATATGAATGTAATGGAATGTTGAGCAAGTGGATTTCAGAAAAACCTGGAAAGACTGACATGAACTGATACAAAGTGAAATGTGCAGAGAATGTTGTGCACAGTAACAGCGACATTGATCAGCTATGAATGGCTTAGCTTTTCTCGCAATGCAGTGATCCATATCCGGAGAAAGAACTGATGGCGTCTGAATGCAGATCAAAGCCTGCTATTTTCACTTTATTTTTTTCATGTTTTTTTTTCTTTTGTTCTCTGTCTTCTTTGACAACATAACTAATATGGAATTATGTTTTACCTGATTGGACGTATATAACCTATATCAAATTGCTTACCTTCTTAAGGGGAGAGAGGGAGAGAGAAAATTTGGAACTCAAAATTTTATTATCTTTTTTTGGAACTCAACATTTTATTTTAAAAACGCATGCTAAAAATTGTCTTTACATGTAATTAGAAAAAATAAAATTCTATTAAAAACTAACTTTGTTAATTTGACACTGTGCCTGGCACAGTGCCCAGCACATAGTAGGTGCTTAATAAATGCTCCTAGAAGATGACATGGCTTCTGTCTTTTCCTGAGCTGAAATGTGGACCTACTAGGTCAATGAAAAGAGCCATGGATTCAGTCAGAGGACCTGGGCTCAAATCTCAGCTTTGCTCCTTAAGAAGAGGAAAAATAAGAATAGATAACATTTTCAGAGTGCCTACTATGTGCTTTGCAATTATTATCTCATCTGATTCTCACAATAACCCTGTGAAGTGGATGCTGTTATGATCCCCATTTTATAGATGAGAAAACTGAGGCCAACAGTGGTTAAGTGACATGTGCTAGGGTCACACAGCTAGGAAGTGACTGAGACTGGATTTGAACTCGGGGCTTCCTGACTGCAGGCCTAGCTCTCTATGACACTGCCCTCCCTCTGCTTCCTTCTCCCTCACATGAGGGGCTTGGGTTAGATTGTGTCTGAGGCGCCCTCAAGCTCTGGACCTAGGAGCCTATAGCAGGGATAGCCAGAAGGTTCCCTTCACCTGTTGGGACACTTGTGGCCAGATGGGGGCTCTTGTTCTGTGTCCCTAAAGGTGGCAAAGAAGCCGGCAGGGGACTCCTCGCTTCTGTAGGGAAAACGGGCCACGAGGGGCCGGCCTGCTCTGCCTACCCTCACTGCCTGCCTTTTTCACTAGATAAAGCTGCTCATCAAACAAGACGATGACCTGGAAGTCCCTGCCTACGACGACATTTTCAGAGACGATGAGGACGATGAGGATGAAGATGAGGACGAGGAAGAAAAGTCGGGCCATGAGAGCGACGGGTCAGAGCCTTCTGGAAAGCGCACTCGGTTTGAAGAGGTATGTTCGTAGCAGCCCTCTGTGGTTCTGGGGGTCTGCCCGACCCCGGTGAGGAGGGGTCTGACCAGTTGTGTCCCAGGCTCTGCTGTGACCGGGCTGCCCTCAGACCAAAGGAGTGTCCTGAGAAGCTGTGTGTGTCTGCATGTACGTGTCTGTGTGTGTGTCTGCATGTGTGCACGTGTGTATGTGTGCATGCATGTGTGTCTCTGTGTGTGTGTAGGTGCATGCGTGCATGTGTGTGTGTGTCTGCATTGCATGTGTGTGTGTCTGTGTGTGTGCGTGTGCGTATGTGTATGTCTGTCTGTCTGTGTCTTGGGGTGGCGGTCTGTATTTGTACTTGGCCCCCACCCCGACTACATCACAGGGCCCAGAAACATTGGAGAGTTTCCCACAGACAGCCTCTAATTTCCCAGAGTCACAACGGAAATCCCATTTCTTAGCAGACTTCTGCAGGGGCATCAGTGTTGGCAGAGTGGGCCCAGAGGGGGCTGCTGCCAGGGGAGGAGCAGTGGTAAGAAGCCACTTTACCCATGAGGGGGCTGGACCTCAGAGAGGTCCAGTGCAGGGGGTGGATTTGAACCCAGGTCATCCTGACTCTCAGTCCCAGCCCTTGAAGGTCCAGGAGTCTGCCTTTGAGAGTTCAGTCCCCCTGGAAGTTCTGGGGAGCCCTGTTTAGTCATTGACACGCTCAGGGAAGGTCTGGCTTGACTCTGGCTTCCCCCGTTCACCCAAGAGCGAGAGAATATCCCGTTCACTTGGGGAGGAGTGTTTGAAGCCCAGGGGCTGCAGGGGCGTGAAGCGTCAAAACACTCATGTGCAGCTAGAACCCCGTGAGACCTGGAACCCACCTCGTGGACTGTCCTTGGGGTCGGCATCTCGGGGATGTCCCCTCGCTCAGTAAGACGTCGCAGGCGTGTGAGATGCCCCTGGGCCCTGGGGCTGTGCCCTGCAGGTCAATCCGGTCCAGCTACCACGTGCTGAGCACCTGCTGTGTGCCCGGGCCTGCACTGGGAGCCTGGGGCACAGACAAACCACAGAAGATCACCTGCCCTCCGGGAGCTTCCATTCACCCTCGGGCCCCTGACGGGGGGGTCACTTGTCTGAGGAGAAGGCCTGTCACTCATCACGGTCAGGAGGTCTGGGTGAAGACCCTCCCCAGTGCAGAGCAGCAGCTTCTCTGCCAGCTCAGGCCGAGAGCAGCCTGGGCACCGCGAGGGGAAGGGTCACGCGGCCAGCATGAGAACCGTGGGGCCAGACCTCTATCCACCAGGCCACCCCCTAGGCCTCTCGTGCCTTTGCATGGGCCGCCCTTTGCCTGGAAGCGGGCATCAGCGCAGGCCTCCTCCTCCTCCCCCTCCGCCTTCAGGTGGGCAGTGGCACAGGGTACAGACCCCAAGCTTGAGGTCAGGAAGGACTGGATTCAAATCCAACCTCAGATACTTACCAGGTGTGTGACCTTGGGCAAGTCACTTAACCTTTGCCTGCCTCCGTTTCCTCATGTGTAAAATGTTTGGTTTTTGGTGAGGCAGTTGGGGTTCAGTGACTTGTCCGGGGTCACATGGCTGGTGAGTGTTATGTCTGAGGCTGGATTTGAGCTCAGGTCCTCCTGACCCCAGGGCTGGTGTTCTCTCCACTGCTCTGGCCCCCCTCATCTGTGAGATGAAGGCTTGGACTGGAGGCCTCTAATGTGCCTTCCTTCTCGAGGTCTGTGATTTCATTTCATCGAGCCTTCGTTTCTCCGGCCTCCTAAAATGAGAGCCTTGTGCTAGATGACCTTTAAGGTCCCCACCAGCTGCAAATATCTGATCCTATGACTGAGCAGTGGGCCCAGAGCCAGGAGGGCTGGGTTCAAATCCTGCCTCCTACCCTTGATGACTCGGTGACCCTGGGCAATCCCTCCTCTTCTCTACACCTCAGTTTCTTCATCTGTAAAATGGGGCTAATGCCTAACAGGGTTGTCAGGAGCCTCAAATGAGAGTGCTAGACCAGAGCGTTTCTCCACGTTTAAAGGACTCTGCACACGTCTGCTCGACTTCTTCTTGCTCACGTCCTCTCTGCCCAGAGCTGGCCTGCCCTGCTGGAGAAACGGGCCCAGAAGGAGGAGCCCCTCCTCCCGAGGGCCCTGGCTGGTCTTTCTGACCACCATCTTTTCCCTTTGTCCCAATGGTTAGGACGTGATCGAGCAGACGATGAAGAGGAGGCAGCGAAGAGAGTGGGAGGCCCGCAGGTAGGAGGCACGCGCTGTCCCCAGCATCTTGATGGCCTGTTAGGGAGTGAGGCCCGGCCGCGAGGGTCTGAGCTCCCCCTTCTCTCCGAGCTCCCTCTCGTCGCCGGCTTCTTCTGGATACAGTGTCCAGAGAGGCCCGGCTGCAGGCCTCCCTCACCCAGCCGCTGACCTCTGCACGGTGTCGGTGACCTCCTTCAAGGCTCGCCAGGCCCTGTGGATAGAAGGGGCTGGGGTGGGGTCGTCTTAGGCCCTCACGGGTCCCTGGGCTTCGTCCTGCCTCCTGAGGCCTTGACATTCTGCCCTCGTGTCTTCCCAGGAAAGAAATCCTCTTTGACTACGAGCAGTATGAATACCACGGGACCTCAGTAAGTGAGCTGGTGGGGGCCTTGTGGGGGCCCCTCTCGGGCCTGAAGGCCCAGCTTTTGTCCTTGGGGGTCCCCACTGCTCTTCCCTTTGTATTCACGCCCTTTTTATTTTTACAACGGTCTCCTCATAGAGAGCTTCCTGCCCCCTGCCTCCAGCATGACCTGGTGGGAGGCCACTTGGCTTTTCTGGGTCTCAGTTTCCTCGTCTGGAGGAGGTGACCTCTGCAGTCCCTCTAGCTCTCTGTCCTTCCCTTGAAGCAGAGTGGAGAAGGCGGCGCTGCCTGGAGTATGCACCTCTGCTCCCCTGTGGTCCCCCGCCTCTCTGTAGAGAGGACTGGGCATGGCGGTCAATTGGTGTTTTGGTTGTGGCCGGAGTCATCCTGTAGTCCATTCTCTTGGCCCTGGATCAGTTCATAAATGTCTCCCGGGCTTCTCCGCCTTCCTCACACTCCTCTTTCATTGCAGTGTTGACATGGGCCTTTGGGTTCCCCTGCTGCCTTTTCTCTTGGCGTTTCCCAGTGGGGGGGCAGCCACCTCGTTTCCCCTCTCTGCCTTCACAGAGGATGCTGCCATCTGTGGTTATTAAGGCACCAGGGTTTCCTCTTTGACGTCAGACGGTGTGGGGGGCGGCCCCCACGTTATTGATCAGGCAGGAGCCGGAAGCTCTCAGCTGTGGCCTTGTGGCTTAGATGTGGTCAGACTCCCCCCACCCTGGGGCTCTGGGATTTCACAGACGTGGGCCTTCCCTCCTGTAGGGCCCAGCCCAGCCTGCTGTGGTCAGCTCTCGCCCCTGTGACCTCCCCTTCCACATGCATCGTGGCACCAGAGAGCCTCTCTCTGGAGTGTCTGCCCCTGAGGAGGCAGCAGAGGGCACCTGACCCCCAGCCCCTTCCCCACCACCATGGGCAGCCCAGACCAGGAGGCTCTGTGTGCAGCCTTGAGCTGGTCCTGACCCAGAATCCCTGTTCCCTCCTCTTTTGTAGTCAGCCATGGTGATGTTTGACCTGGCCTGGGTCATGTCCAAGGATCTCAATGACATGCTGTGGTACGTAAGCAGGGCCCCTGCGGGGGCTTCCTTCCCTGTCCCTGGTGCTGCCCGTCCTCTGCCCTGGGAACAGAGTGTGCCTGACGAAGGGGGTGGGGCAGGATGCTGCCGGGCTGGAGGACGTGCTCGCGGGCACCTCAGCCCTCTTGGCTCCCCAGGCTCCTCAGGAAGGAGCTCTGTGGTCAGGCTCAGTGGGAGGCCTCTGGCCTCCCGCCTCCAGGCACCACTGGAGGTCAGGCTTCAAGGTTCCGATCCTGACTCTTTTGCTTTACTCCCCAGGTGACCTTAAGCAAGTCACCTCCCGTCTCTGGGACTCAGTTTCCTCATCTGGCCTAGATGACCCCCCATGTCCCTTTCAGCCTTAAATCTGGAAGGTTCTTCCCCAGCTGTGTGGAAGAGGCTTTTCTGGGCTGGACTGGCCTAGACTGGTCTCTGGACCCCTTCGCCCTCTTAAAAAGGAGCTTCCTTCCCGCCCCTCACCCCTCGTGCTCTTTGTCCTTCTAGGTGGGCCATTGTTGGGCTGACCGACCAGTGGATACAAGACAAGATCACTCAGTAAGACTGTCCTCCCTGCTGGGCTCTGGGGGTGCTGGTCACGGCAGATGTTGTGGCCTGAGGCCCGAGGGGCGTGGGCCAGATGATTCTGAGTGACCCGCAGAGCCCGGTCCCTGGCTGGGAGGTGCTGGGACGGGTGGGGGGACCACTGGTGGGGTCTTAGCTTTCCCGTCCCAGGCTCCGGGAACAGGATCTGTCTAATAACACGCACACATTAAGCTACTGCTGTGTGCACGGCCCTGGGGATATGAAGGTGAAACAAACCCCATTGCACTCCGGGGCCTTCCTTTCTGCCTTGGTGGGCAGGAGGGATATTACACGCACACTAAGTATGTACCTGATGACTGGGGCCATTGGAGGTGGCCCCTGAGCAAGCCCTAAGGAAGTCGTGGATTCTGAGAACTGGCGGAAAGAGGAAGTGCATTCCTGGTCAGGAGCACAGCCGGAGCAAACAGAGAAGTGGAGTATAAGTCTGGGGAACGGCACGTAGGCCGCTGTGCCAGAGGGGGAGCACGAAAGGGCTTTGGACCCCGGATTGGGCTGTGTGGATTGTCATCCTGGTTCTGCCTCTGACTCAGTGACCATGGTGAAGTTGTCTTTATCTCCATGGACCTTAGTTTCTCACTCCGTCAAATGGGTTGGATAACCTCCCCTCCACGTATCTCCTAAGAGCAGGCTCTTGCGAAAGAAGCTTGAAAATGAACAAATGTGTTCTGAATGACTGGCACTGTGCCCGTGGCCAGCGTCATTCACACCCTCCATCCTCGCCCCCGACATGGCAGCAGCCGGTGACACAGGGTGCAGGGCTTTGCAGTGGCATCTTCTGTCCAAGCCAGGCCAAGGCCCTGGAGTCTGGGTTACTTCCATGCTTCTTACCGCCAGATCTTTATCCAGGCTGTTCCCTGTGCCTAGAACACCCTCCCTCTCTGCTTCTGCACATTTTTCCTTCAGGGCTGAGCTCCGGCACCATCCTGACTCCCTCCTGGATTTCCCTTCTCCCTCCCTCCTGTGCTTACTTACCTGGGGTCTACTCATCTCTGCTCGTGGTAGTGAATAGAAGCCCCTTGACGGCAGGGAGGGCTTCAGTTTCATCTTTGTATCCTCAGGGCCTAGCCTAGTTCCAGGTACACAGTGATGCATAATAAATGTTGCATCTTCAGCCTCCATGGCTATGGTGGATGATGCAGATGAATCCTCAGCTCTCAGAGCAGGGGTTCTGGGCCTGACATCCGTGGACCCTTAGGAATTCTGCCTGAGGGTAGATTTCAGGCCATCTGTGAATGTGGATGAGGAAAAACATCCCACCTTATTTTCCCATCTCTGGGACCAGCGACCAGCATGTTTTATTCTCTGCACTTAGGAGAAGGGTCCACAGGCTTCACCAGACTGTCAGAGGGGCCCAGGACCCCAGAAAGGTGAAGAGCCCTGTTGGTGACTTGGTTCCAATCCCTGCCCTGTGATCCTAGGCAAGCTAAGTTCTGCCTCAGTTTCCTAATCTGGATGTTGTGACAGTTGAAGCCAGAAAGGACAGGGCCCCTATGGACCAAGCCAGGGCTTCCCTCTGCAGGGCAGGGCCAAGGAAACTTGGGATCCATTGTGGCTTGGGGGGCTGGGATTTGAATTTGTAGCACCTTCTGACGGGATGGACCCGGGGCCACATTGAGAAACATAGAGTTTTGGGAAATGGCCAGTGCTACTTCCCAGCTCTTACCTTCCTTGTTCTAAGACCCCTCTCAGCCCTGACATCCCCTGTTCTAAGCCCCCCTCCCAGCCCTGACATCCTCTGTTCTAAGCCTCCTCCCAACTGTGATATCCCCTGTTCTAAAGGCCCTCCCAGCTCTGACATCCCCTGTTCTAAGGCCTTTCCCAGCCCTGACATCCCCTGTTTTAAGCCCCCTCCCAGCTCTGACATCCCCTGTTTTAAGGCCCCTCCTAGCTCTGACCTTCCCTGTTCTAAAGCCCTTCCTAGCCCTGACATCCCCTGTTCTAAAGGCC